TGCCTGCCTATAAGTTAAAAAAATTTTTTTTTTTTTAAAAAGAAGACTTGTGTTCAAATCCTACTTTTGACCTATGCTAGCTGAACAAACCACTTAATCTCTGAGCCTCAGTCTCATCATCAGGAAAATGGGATACTAATTGTTGTTAGGAGGGCCCAATGAGGTAACAAATGATAAAATGCCTTCCAAACATTAAGATGCTATACAAATTTCAATGATGATTATTATTTTAAAATAAATTTTACCATTATCTCCTGCATTCAAAATCCTGCAAAATTATAATGAGCAAGTTTGACCTCTATGAAGAGCCAGGAGAAGGCACCTCCCCCTCATTTCTTTGCAGAGTAGTGGGGGAGGGAGCAGAAAGACTACGGGTGTGCAATACTGCATATAATACCAGACTTCTTCTATGTTGGTTAGTTTTTATCTTTTTAAAATTCTTCAGTATAAAGGATGGTCGGGCTAGAGAGGAGGTGAATGCATTGGGAAATGTAGGTGGTAGTGACGTAACTATCAGGAACCCAGAAGACTTGAATTATAATACTGCTTTTTTAAAAAATATATATTTACTATCTGTGAGACTGTGGGTAAGTCACTAAAGTCCTCTCAGTCTCATTTTCTTCATCTGTAAAATGGGGGGAGGAATAACATCCCCCTCTCAGGGTTATTATGTGGATCAAATGAGGTAAAATGTGTGAAGTGCTTTGGAAATTTTGAAGGGTTGTATAAACACTAGTTCTTACTACTAATAATCTAAAACACATGATCTGGTCATGGTCAAAGTGGACAGTAATGAAGAGGTTGGGGGGGTTTTGGGGTGCTCCTAGTTGCACAGAGGTGCCCCAAGATCGCGGGAGGTTTTGGGGTGCTGAGAAAAAAAAGCCCAGATCGCGGCACCGAATCTGCCTGAATGAATTCAACCCAGATCTTCTTCCAGCCAGAGAAAAAGTTTATTAAAGATAAAGCATATAGGCCAGATCACACCCGCGAGGATGTGGGCTTGAGAATTTCAGCCTCTGGGCATGAGAGGTTCTCAGCTTCTGAACAGGGGCTAAGATGAGTCTTAAATACAGAAAGACTGTGGTAAGGGTCTAGGAGTGGCCAAGCAGTTTGGAATGACAGGAAGAGGGGTCTAAGGAGATCTGGATGGGAGTGGCTAGTATGCTGGGGTGAACAGAACTCCTGGGTCCTGGACCTCATGGCGCCTAGCTAGGATTAAGGGTGGGATCTGACCAGGAAGGC